GTTGCTACCGGCGCCCGTTGCTTCGGGGATTTCAAGGGAGAAGACGTGGTTCGTGCTTCTTCTGTTTCCTGTTTTCAAAACAATTATAACAATGTTCATGGATACTGTTTTATTAATAATTACTTTGGGGGCTTGTATGCCTAGTTATGCCAAGTGTGGCTTGAACAATTGTATTAACGCTTCCGCTACTTTAAATGCATGTTTTACATTATGTTTGTTTATGGATGTACTATGTGTGAATGATATTCATGACGCCTTGTATAGTATGGATGAGTTGGACTAGGTTGACTATTCGTACTGTACGGCGGGTTGTTGACGTGTCCGGCTAGGTCCGGGGCGTGACATATAACCTGCTGACTAAGCATGTAAGGGAAACGGGAGCTTACCGGCTAAAAAAGAGGATCTGAGCTTTTTTAACTTTGGGGTGTGAATTGAGCAATTCGTATAGGTACGCAGGCCTATCTAACCCTTTAGCCAATAAATTTCAATTCAGCCCATCTTAAATCCTAATATAATGTAAAGGCCTAGTGAATGTTCCTAACTAATGGTATCTATGATATGATGTTAAAATAGTCATATCTTTTTGCAAGAGGAATGATATGTTCAGACCAGAAATCGTTGTCCGATCAATTGCGTTTGATGGCCTTTCTGATCGAATTGTTCTATAAATTATTGTGAGCATGTTCTTCATAAATTGCAAAATGTTCACACAAAATTTCAGCTTAAAATTCTACACTTCATTAAGAACATGCACATAGAATTTCATAAAACAATTCGATCGAGAAGGCCCTCAAACAAGCTTGATCGGACTGACAGTTTGGACTGTCCAGATCATTCCTTCTTTTTGCAAATCATTACCTAAGTAAAACTTTCTAAGGTTTTAAAATTTTAAAAATCTAGCATTAGATAACATAAATAAAATATAAAAAGTTATCAAATAAATCTCTATACTATATTTAAAATTTCATTTGTGCTCATGTACAAAAGAATTAATTGGTATTTTTTGAGGGTATGTGCTACATATGTGCTACATATGTGCCACATACGTGGCCTTTTAATTTTTTTTCTTATTCTTTTTTTTTTCCTTTTCTAGGCTTTTATTTCTCTATTTGAATTGAGTTTTTTTCTTAAATATTAATGACATAGAACTTATAGAAACAAATGTAACTAAAGTCACTATGTGTGGATTGTTGTAGTCACTCTAGTGTAAATTTGAACATAATAATAGGCAATAAAGCGCTATTATTATGATCATTGAAGTATATAATAAGTAGCATTTTTTATGGTGTCTTCATCTCTTCAATATAGTCATATATATTCGTCATAATTTCATTTTTATTTCCTTCTTCGTTGTCTTTCTCGATCACCAACTTCTTTCATCGTATCCCCTCAAAAAAATTCAGTTGTTCACATGATGTGCCACCTTTTGTTTTTGAACAAATCACGATCTGTCAGAAATTGGATCTCTAACTAGAGTAGAACTGTAGAAGGCTAATGGATGGCCCATTTTAGACTATTTCAATGTTGAAATCAATAGACAAGATTTAAAGACAAGTTAGTATTATCATTAAAGTTAATCATCGTACGAGAAGCAACTTCACCAGAGCACTATCCAAATCAAGTAATTTTGAATTTTTGCAATGTGACCAAGACCAAATTCTGATAATTAATTTTTTAATAGTTGAGTCATGAAGAAAGAAAAGGAAAAAGAGCAATGGTGAAGCAAAGAGATGAATGAAAAAGGGGAAATACGAAAAAGAAAAGTTAAAGGAGTGGACGTGGACGAACGCTTGATAACCAGAGATGTGTTTAATAGATAAGCAGGAAAAAGAAGAAATCAAATAATGAGGTGGACGCCATTGTGCATCAACATAACAATGAATAGAAAAATAAAAGACGTGTAGGTTTAAGTTACATGATCCCTTAAAAAAGTTACCTGAAAACTACATGGTAACTTTCAAAATAGAAGAATGGAGTGTTTTTTTATGTATAGTCGATTAGGTATTTTTAGTATTGCGACATAATTACTAATTTAACTATATTAATGCATCATTAGTTAGTTTATTTGAAGATTAATTAGATGACATGTTAGATTATTTCAAAGGTTAACATTGAGGGGAAGAGATTATTTAAAAAGAAAATCCGGTATCAAAATTTAAATCTCAAGTTATTTTAGATTATAGCTAAAATGTATTTAATGCATGTCTTTTTTTTTTAAATTTAATGCATGTCCTAAAAAAACTAATTATATGAATATCATTGTTAATAAATAAATTTAAGCTTTGAAATTATTTATGATTTAATGTGTTACAATGATGTGGCAATTAGGTATACTAGAAACAAAATTGAATAACATGAAAGGAAATGTTCTTAGAGCATCCACAATGCCTCCAAGTCTAGTCTCTATTAAAAATGCCAAATGTCAAATAATTAAGAGGGTTTCTAATCCACCTAATTTAAAGTGGAGCGATTAGATAGTGAGGAATGAAATAAGCCCCCAATGCATTTAGTCCTCGTCCTATTGAATATGCCATGCGGGATCAAATATATCTATTAATTAAAATTAAAATAAAAGTAAAGTACTCTATTTGTTTTTGAACGTACTGCTTCTTTAAATAACGTATTGCTCCTTCTAGCAATGAACATACTGCGACGAAAGATACCAGGTAGTATTCTCATATCCCCTCTTCCTAAACTTTTGAAATCAGGTAGAGAAAGAAAAAAGCTAATACTGTTGACACGCACTCGCCAAAATGCAACTCTTGAAATATCTATTAGAATTTTCCCGGTGAGTCACGGGTTACGCCGGCTGATCTCCCATTGGCCCCACCATTTCCGCTCTTAATTATTCCAGTAACTGTGAAAACATATGCAAATCACGTTTTTTTGTTAATTTTGCTGAGTCAGCAAGTTTAGACTTCTTTCTCAACTCACACTTTCATCTTCACGGTGTCCAGTGGTTATCTTGCCAACTCAGCATAAATGAATTGCAGACTACCTGCGTTGGAGGATGTATTACATAGGTAATGTCTAATTTGATGAGTTGGCATAATTTTTTAGACTAGACAGCCACACATTGGAGATGCTCTTATGGAGATCTAAGCATATCTTAAAGTTAGTAAATTTTAATGGCTTAAATGAATTCAAGTTTATTTTCTTCAAACCTCTACCCCAATTGCCACAGGCACTACAACCGCCCGCCGATGATGACCACTACTAGAAAATGAATCTCAATTTTTTTCCAAAAAAAACATGTGGGGAAATCATCGAAATGCACCATGAATTTGCATCGTTAGAATGTTTCCTAAAAATTTTTGAAAAAATTGTCAAAATTTGATGTCAACGAGCACAGTAATATGTTTCAATGTTTCATAGAATAAGTAACATACCACTCACAGTGACGTAATAAACTGACGATGACCTAAAAGGAGATAAGAAATCACAATTTCTTTGTCAAACTAGAACATGTCATTTCAACTTTTGCTTCATTTTAGTAACCTAGACTCGCAACCTTACCCTAAGAATCAACAAGTTCAGAGATAAAATACTCCCTTACACAAACGTTAACATGGTTCATTGATTCAGAACATTAACATGGTTCATTGATTCAGCGCAATTTAAAGTCATTAGATCATATCTACTTCAACCCCAATGCACTTCAAGCAATTATATATGGTGTGCAACTTCAAGTGCAAAGAATATCTTCAAGATGTATCTTTAACTTGTAAATATCATTCCATATTGAGTGAGGATAATGGTGAGTGATGAGTTCCAAATTATGATCAATGGAAATTGTGTCAAAAGAAGGTGAACGGGGAGAATGTGATTGGAGGAAAGGAACTTCATACATTAAACCACGACATATAACATCAGTGGTTGTAATAGGACATTTGGATGTGTGTGTATTGATGGAGTTATGGCACTAGGTCTAGAGCCTAATCGACCCAAGCCCCAAACTTGGACCCGTGAATCCAAGCCCACGACCTCAGCCAGCAAACCCAAGCCCAAGCCTGGAGCCTACCTACTAGCCCGAGGGCTCAAACATCAGGCTTGTCAACCAGGACAGCCTGTGTGGCAAGAAGAGTAACGGTCAAGCAATTAATGTGTTGTTTAACTATAATGTATTTAATTTCGTATTAATGTTGTAATTAATTAGTCACTTATTGTGCATAGCAGTTTCCATTTGTAAACATCTATAAAAGGCAAGTTGTAATTCAAATTAGGGAAAACTATTTCTGGTAACAAAACCTCCTTTGCAACTTTTCATTTTCCAACTTGTTATCTCCCTCTAGAGTGTTCTGTCGTAGATTTCCCAAAAAGCCTAAGAGCGTCGATTTGTGGGGACCATCATATAGCATTTGCTTCATGGAACAAACTAGGTTCACCAAATAAAGAACCTTCATTTGATGAACCTCGAACATCACATATAACTATTATGTATTTAATTTCGTATTAATGTTGTAATTAATTAGTCACTTATTGTGCATAGCAGTTTCCATTTGTAAACACCTATAAAAGGCAAGTTGTAATTCAAATTAGGGAAAACTATTTCTGGTAACAAAACCTCCTTTGCAACTTTTCATTTTCCAACTTGTTATCTCCCTCTAGAGTGTTCTGTCGTAGATTTCCCAAAAAGCCTAAGAGCGTCCATTTGTGGGGACCAACATATAGCATTTGCTTCATGAACAAACTAGGTTCACCAAATAAAGAACCTTCATTTGATGAACCTCGAACATCATATATAACAATGTCTGCTATAGAAACCATGAGCTGATAAGCAACATTGATCGAGTGTTCCACCCACAAGGAGTATTTTTTGACAAAACGAGTGACATTTATCAATCATAAAAGACAGCTTGAACTGGATATTTGGTTTGTAATTACTAAAGGTGTCATTATGGTTGAAATTGTAGTCACTGTCTCACCTACATCGAACTTCACCATAATCAAATTCAACATAATTCAAATGGATACCTAGGAAGTTACAAAATAAAAGGGTCAAAAAGGGATTTTTTAAAAAGGTAAAAAAAGAGTAAACACGACTTTTTTTAAAACATTAATCGAACTGAACAAAAATAACAAGTATTTAGCCGATCCAAAAAACATCCACTCATAGACAACCATAAGTCAAGCACTACGACATTGACTGTATTCATAAGACTAGATTCAAATTTACACAATATTTGCTACAAAACTGAAAGAAGACTCTCACTATGTGCACCTGGATGTAATCAGCTGAGTTTTTTGTGTTGAGTGCCTGCAGTATGTGATTCTTCAATGTGCCTTGTAAGCAATGATATACGATGATGTGATGCACTTGAAGCAGCATAATATGAGGTCACAGTGAGCTGTGTAAATTTTGGAAGTGCATGACTACCAAATGCTGCACTAGCTGCAGAAAACATCAGAAGTGGAGGAACCCCAATAATAAAAGGAAGCCACTTTGGTCCCTTAACGGCTTAACACGCTTCTGAACAAAGGAGATACCTGTGTTCAACCCATAGACTGTGCTAAGCATTCCACCCATTACAGAGCCAGCCACCGAAGTAAAGTCATGCAAAACCGGTGTGATTATCCATTCTGCGTTGTCAAAGGTGAGGTTAAAGAGAGACAGACAGCGAGGGCAGCGAGCAGAACCCAGTCCAGGCTTGATAGTCGGATCATGATGCAGATTCCCTGTTTTCAACCTCTCTTCGTAAGCCTCCCGAGTCCCCATAGCCACCGAGTAAGCACGACATACACTTATACAAATGTCAAATAAATAATGTTAAATTACATATTGCGATAAAAGTGTGATGCGAAAGGTAAATGCATTAATATTGTTAAATCACATATTGCGAGAAAAAACAATAGGTAAATATTATTCTAGAGAGAGATAAACATTAAGAATCTCTTAAAGGGTGTACATATTTTAACAAACAAATTTAGAGTGAAAAGGTGAACACAATTTCAACTGAAATTACCGAAAATGTCAAATATTATTAATGATTAAGCCAAGAACATGATCATAAGTTCATATGTGAAATGTAGTGTAGATGACAAAACTGAGGTTGCACGGAGTATCATGTGAACAGACCACAACACGCAGTGGCAGAGCTAGAGATGTCAGGTTATGGGGGCCGGGACTTAGAGAAATCATATTGGAGGGGGGGGGGCAGACTTAAAATTTTTCTATATTTTTTACTTCTTATAAATATTTATACATATATGTGTACTTTATAAAAATTTATACATATATGTGTACTTCAGAGAAAAGCATAAAAGTATGGCAGACATTGTTTCCGTCATACAGATGGATATTATCCATGAATTCAAATTCGAAAAATTACTGAATGAAAGGGCATATTTATGCACAAACTTTAGAGAAATATGAATACGATTTCAAAGCCAAAGTAAGTGAATACCAGAGTGGCAGAGTGCTTTCAGAAAAACTACGAAGGAATGATGTTGCTCGTTCACTTGTATAGAGAAAACAACGAAGGAAGGAAATGGAAGGAAAGCAATATTAAAAGAGAAAAAAATTGGAGAACGAACATAATCGCCAAATGAATCAAGCAAAGCAGGGGGAAATGCCAGAAATAAACCGTTATAAGAAGGAAAGAGGTGGTTGGCTGGCCTGCTAGTGCAAGTGACCTAATAAAATGCACTGTAAAACTCTCCAGGGGTAGATTTGGACATGCTTTTTTTTATATGTTCATTAGGAGTAACTTGCTACTATAAAGTATATACTTACTCGTATTCAGAAACTTTCCTATTGTTTTAGTCCTATAAGAGGCAATTTCTATATTATGTCTTGATCTACTGTTTGAATTCCCAGCTGTCTTCCTCCATCCCTTTGTCCATCCCATTGTCACAGAACTAGAGGCATATTGGAATAAAGAAAAGCAGGAAAAGAAGTGCAGACAGAGACTAATCATTCTCAATACATAATTTCAAATTTTAAACTATACATCCAATAAATGTAATCTTTCCATCATTTGCAATGGAGCCAAAGATTCATTATTTTTTGGCTTGAGATTATGATGGAATAAAGCAAAATGGCTCACTAAACTGTCTGCGCTTCTTTGTTATGAAGAAGCAGTCAGTCTATGCAATTTTGGACGGGATTTTCACTATGGGTCATCCGGAAACAGTCTCTCTGTGCTTTAGTACAGGGGTAAGACTGCGTACATCCGACCCCCCTTACCCCACCGTAGGTGGGAGCCTTTGCGGCAATGGGGTAAATGAAAATGAAAATGATCCAATAAATGTAATACAACATAATAATATGATGTTTAGAGAGAAAAATTGTGCGTTAATAGTGTAGGCATGCCCATAAAGATACATTTCAAAATCTAAAATTACCAACCAAATACTTGAATAAACATGTACACCGCATAATTCTTTGATAAGTCAAAACTCAAAATATATAACAGCATTGGAAAATATTGTTTAAAAATGCTAACCCAGTTAGAAACCCAATACCGTATACAAAAAGTGAAAAGCCCTCATAATTTTACAATGGTTTGATATCATATAGGACCATTTGGAGCCCAGCTGGATGGCAGGCTTCAACAAATAGTACCAATTCAGATCTCCGTTCTTTGGATTCAATCATCAGGCTTTTTTCAAAAGAAATCAGAAACTAAGATCAGCAACATTTTACTTTACACAGATTTACTCTATGGGTCCTGGGTAAGGAACCGGATCTTTTTCTGGATTCTTGATCCAAAACTACAATAATGCACACGGTACCATTGTGATGGCATGAAGTACATAGGGTTGCGTTTTCATGATTCAAACACCAGTAAATGAGTTAGAGGGATAAACCTTCCCATATAAATCCGTAATGTTAAACCCCAAACAAAATCTATAGTAAAAATCAAAGAATTGACACAGTGAAGTAGATGACTATTCAGTGAATACGTACGAATAGTTTACAACAACAAAATCAGTAAATATAAAATCCATGAACCAGAAAGTGTTTTCTTTTGATAAAAAACGGAATAATCAGTGTAGTATTAAAAACAGTACATTGAAATGTAAAAAACGATGTCGCTCACCGTGGGGGGAGAGTTTCCAGCGGCCCCGATTGAGATGCCGGAGAGAAGAATTTCCAGGCAGCAACGGTAACATTACTCAAGTCCTAACCGCAGCGCCCCTCTTTGGCAATTGTTGTGGCTGATTAAATAGGATTGAGCTGGTGCGATTGGGTTGTTTAGTTGGCCCGCTATACAGAATTCCAGATTGGGCTTTTGACTTGTTTTACATTGAATACAGTAATTCTTCATATACTTCCCTAAATAAGAGTTCGAAACTTGAAAGTATCAAACTACGTAGTAAATTTCAATAAATGAAATCATTTCAAACCGATTTGCTATTATATTAAATAAATATACTAATCTCCTCTGTTCTATATTTTATATAAAAAATATAAAAATTGGTGCTTTAAATTTTTAATGTTTATGTTGTCAAAAAAATGTTTATGTTCCTTGGTGTTCTTGTATAGGATTTTAGAGGTATAAGAGTCTTTTCGTATTATTCCTTATTACAAATCAATTATAAATTGATTTAAGAAAAGTACTCTGAATCATTTCCATTCAGAAAAGAGTTGAGCATATTTATCACTATTCACTATGCTTTGGAGTAATTGGAAAGCTCGTAATGAGTTCATCTGGAAGTAGGGTTGGATTCGGTTCGGGCCACCCGGCCCGTGACCCGGCCCGGCCCGGTACTGTGCAGGCCCGGGACCGGCCCGGTCGGGCGGTCCGGGACCGGGTATGGACCCGAACCAATGGGTAGGGGCGGGGCGGACTCGGTTCTGCATTATTGTGACCCGGCCCTGCCGGGTCGGGTCCGGGCCCAGGTCCGGGTCTATTTTTTTAAAAAAAAAAATTGGTTTGGGCTCCTACTAGCCCATTGGGGCCTTGGGGGTGGGGTTGGGGACAACCCAAACGGCTATATAGCCGTTGGGTGGGGTAAAGGGGGGTCCGGGGGGGTGGCTGGTGGGGGGGGTGGGGGGTAAAAAACCTATAAATACTCCTAATCTTAAACATTTTTTCATATCTCTTCTCCAATTCTTCCTAAATCCTATTCTTAACTCTCTACTCTCTAATTCTCTTATTCTCCAATATATTATATTTATTATTTATATATCTACTTTATAGTTTATACTTAAAAAGTTAAGATGGAAAATCAAGATGCCATTATACGGTATAATTTTGATAAGCAGAAGGACCCAAAGACCGGGATGTGGTACGCAATTTGCAAAAGGTGCGAGAAAAAATGTAACATGGGGGCTTCAGGCGGATTCGGGATGGCAATCAAGCATATGAAGTCATGTGAGAAAGCCAAAGGATCGGGAGGTGCGGGAAGTTCCGATTGATTACAATTTTCAAAATGTTTATCTCTTAAAGTTTGTTTTAATTTTCAAATGTAGTTCCTATTTCATTTCAAATAAATGCAATTGAAGTTTGTTTTTAATACTCGTATAAAACTATAAACTATAAAATATAAATTATAAAAAAAAAATTAACCGGCCCGGCCCGAACCGGACCCGACCCGTGACCCGGGCGGGTGGCCCGGCCCGAACCGGACCCGTCCAACCCTCGGGCCGGTCCCGGGCCCACTATTCTTGAACCGGCGGCCCGACCGGGCCCGACCCGGCCCAAATCCATCCCTATCTGGAAGGCAACTGAATTCAATGCTAGTCAGGTGGCAAAAATGGGTTGTGATCTTGCAAGGATGGTGCACAGCTTAAGCAATGGCAAAGTCCATTTCTGAAGCACGTGGATCCAGGGCAAAATGGGTTAAACGGGTGTAGGTGTTTTAAAAATTAACATGGACAAGACACTGAATAAGTTGACAAGGGAAGCGCGCTTGCAGCAAGAGGGTGAGAGCTCTAAACGGCCAAATGGTCAATAACCACACCAGAGAATCCAGAGATGGAGAAGTGTTAAGTTGGGTAAGAGAACAAGGCTATGAAAGGGTGGAATTGTCTAGTTTCATAATGGCGCTGATGATTCTTATCTTGATCTTATTATTGATGATATTAGACATACTCTTCAATTCGAAGCTAATTATTCAGTCAAATTGTATCTGCAAATCTGCAATCCACGAATCATTGCAGATCATGTTCTAGCTAGAGCTGTCCTTCCACATGCGGATAGAAGAGCTATTTATGTAGTTATTCTGGATTTCATTTGTAGCGAACAATTATTTGAATTAATAAGGTTGGTTATTTTCGGTAAAAGAAATTGATTGTCATTTCTCTACGGGACTAAAACCAGACAGGGATCAAGCCACAGTAACATATATACAGAACTAGAGCCTGTTCTGGACTTCTGGTCCAGTACTCCAGTGGAACAAACGTCAATTCTGTTAAGTGTGGTGTCAGGATTGATGGCTCTACATGTAAGCCTGCAAGGGATTAGATTAGTTTGAGAAGAGAAGTATAACTTAATTTTCCCGCTTTGCCCATACAAATTATTCTCATAAACAAAATTGATAAAGAAATCATTGTTTGTATCGGAAGTCGGAACCAAGACTGTACCCAGCATTTACTGGTGCATAATACTGGTCCAGCTTCAGAACCGTCCCAATGGGCAGAGGCTTGGGTGGCTTAGCTGCCTCATTCCTGTTCAGCTCCTCTTGTTCCAGTCTAGTTCCAGACTTCCAGGACCACACCATTTGGTCCAAAAGAGTGCGAATATTTGAATGGTTTCAAATCGAAAGTACCACATTATAAAGAACTGTAAAATACTACTGATACAACAGAATAACTTCTAGTCTTCTACAACATTCATTTATTATTTTATTTTTTGGTTGTGAGGTGATGTTTCACATACCACATTGTTCTAAACATTTTTGGGAAGAACAAGTTCATGTGTCTCCTTGTTCTACTTGGTCTAGTTCGAAGAGATGTGTTTTGAGTAGTACTGCCTTCCATCCCCATAGATTTTACAGAATGATCTTCTTTTCCAGACCTTGCAAACATAGCAATGAAGAAGCCTTCTTTATCCTTCACCAGGTCAGTTCGCAACAAATTTTCAGCTGACGATATACAAGAGACTTTTCAGTATATTGCAACACAGCTTTCAGCATTAGTGCGTTAAGATAAATGAATTACTCAATGGAATTTTTTATTAGGGAAAATGTGCAAATATATCCTTGATGTTTAGCACCAGGTGCAGATATGCTCAGACATTTACTAGACCAGACAAATTTCAGTCCAAGTAAAAACATCCTTAAATTAGAGAGTCTAAATAAGTCTGGGGTATTTAAGACATTCTCAAAACTTTGGATTCCTTTTTGGATGAGAACTTGGTAGGATTTTAAAAGGGGGCGAGCGCGGGCGAAGAAAAGCATTGGCCTGACAAGATCGGGCCCGGCCTAACAGAGTCAAAAGGACTCCCGGCACCAAGGTCTGGTGCCACATCACGGATTCACGGTGCAAGCGGTATAAACTACATAAGTAGCAGTGCACCCGGGACGCTCGAACTATACCAAGGTTTTGAAAGGTGCAAAAATATCCCTAAAGTTCATATTTAGGAGAATGTTTGTACTTGTTGACTTTAAATAGAAAAAGTATTAAAAACAAGAATAAATTAATGAATATAATGAATTTGGAAAATAAACAAATAAAAAATATTTCTTCTATTTTAACAATATTAAATTGATATAAAAATAATAAACGGAAGCATTGAACACAAAATGGATTTTTCCGTTTCTTATTTTTCAATCTCCAAACTCAATATATTCATTACTTTGTTTTTGGCAATTTTAAATATATTTTTTTTATTTATTTAAAGTCAATAAGGGTAAGATGCTCTTAAATACTATCCTCCGCATCTATACACTATTCATTTACTTTACTTTGACTACATTTTATTTATTAATGTATGTGAATTATTTTTTTTTGAAAAATGTTGTTAAATTCGTCTCATTACTAAGTTTTATAATCTAATTTTTATTTTATTTTTACTAATACAGAATTAAATATAATGATGGTCAAAGTTGTGCGTTGGCAAACGTGAAATGTTGACTGTTGCAACTAAAAATAAACGGAGCAAGTAAGTAGTATGAACTTTCAGGAAATTTTTGCAACTTTCTAAACTTTAGGGGCATATTTTCACCTGAACAGAACATCAGGGATATACTTGCTCCTTTGTAGTTTTTATAATATCTTTGTACTTTGTCATAGCTTCTGAGTTGCGTTTTGCATTTGATTATGTGCCATTATGTCAACATCTATATTGAACATGCAGGGATTGTTTTTGTATATGGAAAGAAATATGAAAACATAAACATGAACAACATATGTTAATATGTATACATTCTTATATTAACATATTTCCCGAGCCTTCTTGTTCTATATTTTTTTATAAAATACCGCTTCCCACATTTCTTGTTTCATTTTTCGTGTTTCATATTTTCGTACTACATAGCCAACAAAATATCAGGTTTAAACACTTACATCCAGCCATAACTGGAAGACCACGGTGAGGCCATTGGGGAAGAACGGTTTCCAGTTCAAATCCATGAGATGTGGCAAACGGTAGCAGAGAGTGGATAACATCTTCATTCTCGATTTGGTGAATAGAGCAAGTACTGTATACAATTCTCTCCACTGCTGGAACTGCAACAAAGTTGGAAATATGTCACTTGCATATCCTCACATATTGAAACAAAATAATGCCTCACACTAGAAACTATGCTACATCACATACAGGAAAGCAAGATGCATGTCATAATCTAATGCTAGAGACTGGAGAGGATACAAATTATGTTGAAACAGACAAAATCATATACTCACAACGTAATGCATGTTCCAAAGCTTTTTTTTGAAAATTTGCAAGGTTTTGTAGTCTATCCAAGTCAAGAGTATCCAGAGTACCTAAAGAAGATTGCCCGAGCATACAAAGTCAACAAGATCAAAATATTTATCATGAATCAACTTAGCATAAATGGGGGTGGTTGGGGGTAACATTTGTACCAGTCTAAAAGTACAAAACTACAAATTGCAAACAGCTATTCTCTAAATAGAGAGCCATCACATGTCTTCCCTTTAAAAATGAGTTGCCCATTGTGCGACATCCATTTTTATGAGCTATTTATGCAACTTAGATATTGATTTTTTAAAATCTCCCTAAAGCGTGACATTTAAATTGAGAGAGTATACTGAAAAAGGCTGATGGGACCCAAATACCAAATCTTTGAAACCAATCTGACCAACCTATTGATTTTCCTTTAACAGAGCCTTTGCCAACATTTCTCTTACAAAAGTAGTCATTGAGCACAGATACAACCTTATATTCCATTGCTCTATATGGGGTATATTTAGTATCTGGAGTCTCAATGAGTTTGCTGCTCAGTTTGCAATCTTCCAAAGGAGGCGAATAAATGCTAGGTTGACTTTCCAACAGCGACTCCAGTTCGATAGGCTAATAATAGGTATTGGTTTAACAATGGTTGATCGCCTTTCATATTTATAAGATGAGAACCTTCGTGAGCTTAGCTATGGCAGCATCTACCTGATCTATCGTATTTAGCAGAGCAACATGACCCTACTCCAGTGGTTTTGTAGGGTTTTCTATGTGTGGTTATGCAGGTGAAACCTAAAGAAAAGAATTGAAGAGTACAGAACCCGATACTAAACATTAAGAAAGCTTTTATTAATGGCGAAAGTGAAGCAAAATAAACAAGAACACAGTTTCCAAGAAACCTTCCAGTCTGGTAGATTTATTTTGCCCAATAGGCATTAACTATGCAACAGGCCATCCTTTCCTCTAGAAGCAGTTTTATTTAGTCTTAAAAGACAAAATAAAGAGGTAAGTACGAATAAATTAAATATCATAAAAGGATTGACAAGATCTAGAAAATTATGCTAGACGCAGAGCCATAATCATATCTTTGATTTCACTGACTCCGATAGCAAAAGGAATGTTCGTCACAGCAATTAGGTAGCAAATTGGGAATCGCATTAGCATGGTGAAGGGTCTCATTCCTTGTAGATGTGGCCTTCTGACTAGTACTTAGTTTTGGCTTGGGAAGTCTTATTATCTTCAGATTATTGGATCTGAGCTGAAACCCATGACCCGATCAAACAAAATATAGTCTGTGATTGAGACAGGTATGATAGGTCTTGTGATGTAGCCAACCTTGGTTTTATGCTGATGATCTAGCCAATCCCAACAAATTCCTATTCACGATCTTAGCAACCTTGGTTTTAAGTTATACTCAAGTTCTGGTGGATCACATTCATGCTATTCATTTAAATTGTAATTCGTCACACTTTATTTGTTACCTCCATTGGCTGATGGGAAAAGGTGGTCCAGCCTATCAAAAGCAGTCCCAGATCCAGAGCAAGATGGATCCAAAAGTATTGCACGAACCTATAAAGAGTGAGTCGTAATGAAGAGAAGAGAATATAAGAACATTATAGGAAACTGTATGAGCATTACATTGACACATAGTCACCTACAAAGATAAAGGGATGATCATGAATCTCAAAAACACTCTAGTCGCTTGCTCTGGAAAAGGGTATAGAATATGTCTTACTTCAGTGCAAACTAATATAGCTTTATAGTCTTCTCTTAATAAAAGAAGAAAAGTTTACATTAAAAGCGCAAGCTAGATGAAAGTGAAAACGACTCGTTGAGAACAAGTCAATGATCTACACGACAATATATCGATCCTAAAATATACTACGTATGTTTTATTAAGATCTTAAATAGCGTGTTGGATGAGGAAGGTGTGGGCGGTATCTGCCGAAGATGGAGATAGTCGAGCATTGGTTAAGAAGGGTGGTTCAGGAGGTGTCACTGAAGATTGAGCCCCTGGTAAGCTTTGATGTCTATGTGGGGTACTGGTGTCCACCATGACTACTCCCTCAGAAGGCTACCAAGATTCCAGAAATCTTTGATTGATCGGAATCTGATCAATGAGTAGATGATTAGCAGAGAAGAGGTTAGGCTATTTTATATGTTTGACTGGCCATTAAAGGCTGTCTGGTTGTACAAGATTTTAAAATATTGAGAAACTGAAATTACATTAATTATACTCTCTGTCCTGTTTAGAAGTGATTTTACGAATCTTTAGTACCTCCGAGGCCCACAGTGTGAGCCAAGTGCCAACTGTCGACACTGCAAAGCAAATATGTGCTAATTTATTAACAGAAAAACAACTTTTCAATATCTTTTTCTGTTCGAACCAGAATATAGTGGAAGGATATAATGTCAAGGTTTTCTTTTCTATTCTTTTGTTGTTGACATGCAGAACCTTTAAATAGAGACAGTTTCTTTTTTATATTTCAACAAAATATAGTGGCAAAATGATTAATGCCAAAGTTTTTTGTTATTGACATGCAGGTTTTCGGTGCATATTATTTATGCTAAAATTGTGGGAAGCTTCGTATGAAATACTACCTCTGTGACTCTGTCCCAATAACAAGTTCCCACATTCATAAACGGGAAGTTTTTAATAAGAAAATGTCACAATTACGGTATTACCCTTACTTTTTCTTACTTTTTGATTGATTTGACACAGTGGGGCTTACATGGAAATCCATAACAAAAGTTTTTCTTGCACTAATATACCAATAAGATATTATCATTCTCTTTTAGTCATATAATATGTGTGTCGCTAGTTTGAAAACTCAATGGTGGGGATCAGAATGTCAAGAAAATCAATATGTCCTGAAACTGTTGGTGAAAAAACGAAAACTGCAAATTGTTGAACAATTGGCTCCAACATTGTATGATGAAATGTTTCAAGATGATGACATTCAGATTTCAGAGAGAAATAAAAGAACCTTAAGGCTTATGCATGGGTGGATGTGCTGGTTGGACGGTCAAAGGTCTGACAGACATGTATTTCGATATAGAAGTACACAAAAAGTCGAGAATAAACAATAAGAAGGGAACATAAGTAACATTGTAGAGTGCAGGTAGAATTAAGAGTGTGTTGTTTCTTTCTGTAGGTGGATGGATCCTTGAAACAGAACTGACATTCTCTAGTGTGGTAAATAAGTAAATTCATTGAACATAAAAACATAAGCCTTCCCTATTATGTTATGATTAAAAGATAATCTTGCATCTCTGTCCACACTCTAGAATATGCACAATACTACTAACTATACAGACAGAAACACAGTAGGTCAAGGGATGTGTGCACTGTGCTACACGTATTTTCATGCCCAACAGAGCAAAACTAATTTTAACACGAACTAATTGGGAGGAGATAATTTTTAACATGGAGTTCCTGATCACTATCAAGTCTCCTGATAAAAAAGGGCCCAGGGCACATTAGCATCCCCACAAGGAGAGGGTCTTGGGAAGTGTCCTGCCACAAGGGTGTAAAGGGGCAAGCCTTCCCTTGTCATTTTGACAAGAGGCCGTTCCCAAGACTTGAACCCGTGACTTCCAGGTCAAACAGCAACACTGTAACAGGTTCGCCAAGGCTCTCCTTCCTCCTAATCAAAACACACACAAAATAAAAGAAGCCAATTGGTTTGCAAAAGCCCGTGGTTTCAGGCTTTTAGACGCATAAAGCCTGCTTGAAATTAGACTTATCAACAAAAGGAGAGAGGGAGAGGGAGAGAAACGAGAAGATGCTGAAATATAGTCCGCAGTCAGTATCAATATACAACTTTAAAGAGAAATTAGCATATAGGGAGTAGTGGAATACTACATTTGTAATTGGTGATATATTAAATTCAAATTGGTTTTAAAGCTATAGCTTTTCGATGGGTGTTCATGTATCTTTTTCATGATTTTTTAGCAGCACTATCATATAAACCACCAAGGCGCGTCTCAAGGCACGATTCTATTGCGCAATTTCAAACATTGGTTATCGGGAAAAACATTAAAAAAAACTCATCTAATCATTTAGAAAATAAAAACACAATTAAAATTAAAACTAGTTGCCAACTGCATTACCTTTGAATACAATGGATCTTCTGGACTCAAATTAAGGAAGTCCTCATGCATGACATGCACATCTAGGGTGAGTTAAGTTTGCATATATGAATTAAGAAATCGCTCATATATAAAACATAGACAAAGTGCACAAAGAGGAGTAGCTATGTTTTATTCCCAAAATAGGAGTTACTTGGTTCTATTAAAAGCATAAAACTTCCTTAATTCGGAGTGAATAAATTTTAGAAAGAGAACAATGATGGTCCTATTTGAACATTTTATCCATGTTTTGGTCCTATTTAAGGAATTTTCTCTATTTAATTTGGTATTGGGTATGATAAAGTACAGGATCAGTAACACTTGGGATCAATTGTCATCTCTACCAAGTTGGGGTCAAATGTTATCTATCCAAACACATATATCTCCCATTTGAAGATAGAAATAACTGTTATCAATGGTAAGCAAAGGATACTAGATGCACCAGCCAATTCAACAGTGTGTTTTAAAATTCTAAACCTCTCTTTATCTAACTCACAAGCATGAACCTTTCCCTTTCCGTTCATAAGAGCAGCCAGGTGGACAGTTTTGTTACCAGGTGCAGCACAAGCATCAATTACCTTCACAACAATGATCAACCTTGTTGGTAATAAGAGGTAGAATGGAAGTCAATGGAATTTAGATCACATGCATTACTTTTTCCTTCTTTCTACAGGAATTTTCATAGTTCTCTTTATATAATTACCTCCCATCCTGGTTTAGGGCTAAGTGATGTAGCCACCATGGAACTTGCCTTACCCTTGACAACACAGAAAAGCGATCAGTTGTTTCGTCAAAAAAACATTATCCTCATTAGTTGTTCATGTTAAAAATGCAAGTACATTATGAACATTGTGTCACTATGTGTCTACCTCCATCCCAAAATACTTGACCAAATCTTAAAATTTGGACCATGATTTTGATTAGTATAATATTATAAAAGTTGTAAATTTTACTTTTAAGAAAGTACTTTTAACAAAGAACATTTTCATATCATTTTTATATTGTAAATGATTTCCAATAAATATATATAGTTGGTCAAAGTTATGAATATGGCTAAGTATTTTGGGACGGAGGTAGTATATTATAAGTCAACATACACAATCAAACAATTTTAAAGATGTTTGTCTCTACTAAATAGGTGCAGAGATATTATAGTTAAATACAGAGAAATTGTATTGGCTACCTGCAAAAACACAATTCCAGTTTTTACAAAAGGATGGTCATGCAAGTCAGTGCCAGATGGGCATACTAACAAGTCAGGGATCAAATCATCCTTTTGGACCTGTTTGATGTAGCAAGAGGTAAGAAACTAAGACGAAATGAAGAAAACAATAAATAACAAATCACACAAGGCAGATGTGAATAAAAATCAATAGTCAGATCACAGCAGTATCTTACTGAATTCTGCTTTGAAAGAAACAACTCATTTTCAAATGGTAACAGCATGTGTATCCTCATTCTCAGCATTAAAAGATGACACAATACCATCAAACCGGGCAAACATGTTCATGTGTCATTCTGTGACTAATTGTTTACCCCTTTGTAGTACAAAATCAGGACTAGTAAGCAGTGTTTAAAATGGAAATATATGATCTGTTACACTAAGTTCAAAACTTCTGCACCACTTGTGCACCACTGACTGGTCAATATCTATTACTTGTATTTAATTAATATGATAGTAATGATACAAAAGTTAAACATGATCTCAAGTCTCAACCAAATGAGTGGAACAAGTGCCACACGAATTGTGGTACAGAGGATTTCAATTTGCATATTAACTGCAAAATTGATAACTTCCTAGTTTGAATGGGGTATTCTACTATAGTCCGTCTTCCATCAGAACAGTCAGCCAAATCCCCTTCAGATATCCTTAGACACCTAAGGTTCCTTCAGTATACAAAAGTAACTTCTGTTTCTCCCATCCAATAAGCACGTACAAATGGGAGAGGGTCTGGCAGATTGTTTAAATAGGTGCTTGATGGTAATAAAAATGTATATGTTCCAACTTTAGGAGGCTGTGGCTTGGATGCTTGGTTATGACTAAGAAGAACCACCATGCTGATAGCAGTCAGCATTATGAATCCAATCTAAAATAAAAACTATAATGACCAACTTTTGTTCTCTAGCATCATTAATTTCATTGACAGAAGATTTAGCTTGCTACAACTCACATGACAGCCTCTCGTTTATTTCACCCTCAGAAATATTCTGAGGTGACAAGATCAGACATGCAAAATATTACTCCATCAGTCCCACTAAGATTGTCCCATCTTTCCATTTTGACCCATCCCACTAAGATTGACTCATACCAAATTTTGTAATGTTTGTGTGATTCACAGTCATTTTACTTTATTTTCACTTTATGAACTCAATATCAACCAAATACACTCATTTTTCTTGATAACTGCGCCAATCCTTCTTGTACCAGTGTTAGGGAGGCGGAGGTAGTAAAAGATATAGAATAACAAGATCTACATATATTCATATCAAAGTGTTTTGGATTAAGAACAGAGATTATCATGTACCTCAAATTTTTTCCCCAACTCAAGTAAGGCAGAGTCAACATCCATTTTAAGAGTATTTACACGAACATATCGACATTTTTTAGCATCTGCAGTAAAATAGATCAACATTTACCACATGATATTCAATGACACCAGTCATTATTCACTACATCAACAACAATATACTTCTACTGCATTAAAATTGAGTTTTATATTCGCCTGGGGCTGAATTATTTCAATACATAGGACAAATATAGCAGGAAACAGCTATACTTTGAGATGAAAAAGCAAAGGCTAGAAGCATTCAAAGACAAAATTAGTAATGTACTCTGAAATTTTCATAAAAAACTTTGAAGTTTTACTTGAGCAATTCTCTTTATTCTTTCCATGTGTATCCAAAGATAGAACTAAGTATTAATCATTCATATTCTGCCACCAAAAGAAATCAAAATGAATACCATGAGGAGTAATTAGCTCATTCACATTTCTTACTCCCCTTCTCACTAAAAGTCGAGCTAGAGCTGACTGCAATGCATCCTTCCTGAGCAGTAGAAACTTTTCAGCATCACCAGCTAATGCATCTTCCTATTAAGAGGAGAATATATATGAAAAATATCGAGGGAGTGAAATTCCACAATCTATGGTTTACATAGAAAAGGGAACAACAATCCAGGTTTCATTTCCATACAGATTAAGCATTTTGTATGGGCAACATCTTGAAAGTATTTCCACTAAATCCATATAAAGCAGCTAAAGATCACATTTAAACTTGATATTATGGACCATCAGAGTCTTTCAAGTCAATGAAATAATAATTGTCTTTGTAGACCTGTTTTGATCCTAAAATGGTATATTGAGACTTTGAGAGTGTATAGATTAGTACTGCAGGTTATATGCTGTGCACACAGTGTGCAATTGCATACATCATTACGTAAATATGTTTTGTGTGACTTCTGATGCTACCTCCATTTCCTTTTAATGTAAAAGCATATAAGTTAATGTTCACTGTTCCTTATTGTGAAGCCTCTAAGGTGTGGCATCAAAATTAGTTCAACAAACTAAGAGGCATGTACTGCATATAAGCATAGATGAAGAATTTACCTGTCCGAACAGGATGTCATATGTCACTATATAGACTAATTCTTCTTGTCTCTGCATCATGTATAGAAAAAATAGGCATCAATTCACTGAACGAATGGAACATGTCACCCATACAGAAATGAGTAAAGCCATGAACCATGAAATAAGAAAACCCGGAATTGGTATCTAATCATACACAGTATTGTCTGTCTACCGGAAACAATTTTTGATAACCATGACCTTGGCGCCCTGATAGGTTTGCAGGTTCATTTGTCAGACTAAGTTGATATGCATATATAACCACAGCAACAAAGTGTTGTATTCACACTTCTTCATGATACTACCTCCGTCCCGCTATGATTTTCCCATTTTACCTTATTGGTCCGTCCCACTAAGATTGTCCCATACCAAATTTGGTAAACTTTGTGTGGCTCTAAATCATTCTTACTTTATTCTTACTTTATCAATTCAATATCAACCACGTAAATCACTTTTTATTAATTTGTGTGCCACTCCCTCTTGTCCCATTGTTAGCGGGACGGAGGGAGTATATAGTTTCAAGCAAGAAGAGATTTCAAACCAAAACAACTTATAGCATATTAAGTTATTAACATCAAGCAAAAGTAGAATCAAAGGCTACCTTGAGAAGATACATCTTCAAAGTAAAGTATTCGATAAAAATAAAGCAAAATCAGAAATACGAACCCACCCCAGTATATTTTTCTTATTTTACTCTGTTCCAAAGGAAGTAGGAAAGAAAAATAACTCAAACATGCTAGAAATCAACTACTAACCCATAACATTAGTATTTACTGACCTTCCATTTTCCGTTCAGTACTTTGGAAGCCCCTAACACGTCCTTTATTATGGAAAGATCTGCAACAACAGAGGTAGGGATTAAATTAGTCTGAGAAATAAACCTTTGTCATTAAGCCAAGAAGCTCAGGATACTCATAGAAAGCCATCAAGCTTTAGCTCTAGATAAACTTAAAAGGGAACCCCTCATAGCTAGCTCAAGATTATTCTATAAAGCTAGTCCAGGACTCCATGTTGAAGCTGTTCCGGTGGAAACAAAGTCATCCTAAATATGCTTCATATAGAAAATAAGCATCCAGTCAATTACCCTGAACTTTCAAGGAATGTATCAATTGCTATGTCTGATTACCCAAAAAGAAGCATTACTATGCAACGTTTTATACCATTAAGGCCTCAAGGCCCTTGTCCAAAAGAAGTGGCATCATCAATCAGCTTAAGCTAATGTCCCCAATCTCTAGACAGATCTAATAATAATTTCAAGACTGACATTATATTGTTGAAAGTCAGTAATATCATTAAACCTAAATAGCTTAATGTTTTCTGTTTCTGACTTTTTCTTGAGAAAACTAAGACCCCATTTGGTAACCCTTTTTCGACTTATGGGTCTTATCCGCCACCTTTTTTGTTATACATTAAACTTTTGATTTCGCATGTTTCCATTATTTATTGATCAAAACAAGTAAAGTTGGAGTTACTTTAATGGATGAATTTTCTCTATGTTTTAGGTTTTTAATATAATTTTTTTATTTCAGCCTTTTCCTCGCTTTCATCTCAAAAGATTCGACGTATTCAACACTACCCAAGTAGCTGGCTCTAAAACTCACAAATCTTATACGGAGTATCTTATATGTTTACATATTAAGATACCAAGCCTTACATATGACCAATATAATTGGTCCAATATAGTAATATACTCCATGAATATAACTAATAGCTCAATGCCCTCAGTAAGACGTGCAAGTGTGGAACATGACTCCATTCTTAAAATTCAAAGTTGCGTACAAAGTAAAATCCGGTGACATAAAAATCAGATAACTAAGTCATGCTACGTATAACAATGTATCTATTAAGTTCATTCATGAGTAAATTGTTTACGCTTGAGAGTTTCGCATACGAGAGCATACACAGCTCTCTTGTTCCTGACTGATGGCCCATACACTAACGACTTGATAGAGCCGACAGCTCGGCGTCGAGAGTCTCCTTGCAGCAAGGTGCGCAACACCTTAGCGGCTTCTCTCCGTGAGAAATATGCTGAACGCTGGGCATTGGTGAGCCGCTTCCCCGCAAGAGACTTCGTCTTCAAACACTGCGTTGGCGGCTTTGCCGACGCCTGCACATTTTCTGATTGTGACTTGCTACGGGGCATCGTTCTGTGAAAGCCGCTGTTTCGTTAAGCAGCGAAGTGCCAAATTTTGCGGAGGTAGGTTCACCATTTCAGATTTCAAAAATATGTAAGCTTTTTTGTACACACTTTTTAAATGTATTTTGACAAAAAAAAATTCACATAGATGTGTAAAAGTGTGTACATCAAAATAATGTGTCCACACCTTTTGATCCACAATGAGGCGATGTCTCGTTAAAAACCTCATTAGGAAAAACCCTGTGGGAAAAAATCCTAACGAGGGAAAAAGAGCACACCGGATCCCCTAAAATGAACTCCAAGGGGTGAACCCTTCGGTCTGGGTGTGGAGCTGCAGCGGTGTCCGTTTGCTGAGGGGACGCCTGCCCAGTGGTGAAGACGACGGCGCTGATGAGCCGGTCCGAATATGAGGACGAGGCGATAGATGCCTATCTGAATATGAGGACGACGGTGGTAATGAGCCGTGCGTCATATGAAGGCGACGGTCGCTATCCAGGAAGGGAATGGCGAGCCCGGTCGCTATAACAGTACCTCGGCGTTGGGAGCCGGTGTCGAGATATGAGGACGACGACACTGAGGGGCCGGTCCAAAATCCATGCAACGATCGCCATCCGGTAAAGGAATGGCTAAGACCGGTCTTTGAGATGTAGGATCACGCAGAGACTGGGAGGCCGTTCGTGATCTGAGGACGATGCGATGATGAAACCGTTCGTCAGGTAGAGACGATGGTCCCCATCCTGGAAGGGATGGAGAACCCGATCGTTGGCTCAAGACACTCGGTGCTGAGGAGGCCGGCCTTGAGATGAAGGATCACGTTGAGACCGAGGGGTCTGCCGTGAACTGAGGACGAGGGTGCTGATGAAGCCGCTCATCGCATGAAGGCGAGGGTTGCCATCCAGGAAGGGAATGGCGAACCCGCTTGCTAGCTCAAGACTCTCGGCGCTGATGAAGGCAAGGCGTTGACGCCAGACTGAACATGACGTCGACGAAGCCGTTCTGATGATAAGGGACGGCGCTGGGCGCTCATCTGAATGTGAGGGACGGCGCTGGGCGCTCGTCTGAAGATGGGGGATGGCGTTGGGTGCTCGTCTGACCTGCATATATGATCTTGCTTCGTCCATAATGCATAGTATTTGCCTGATATGTACTTAACCAAATATGTGGCTTGATTTGTGGGGATTTCTTTTTTATTGCTCGAGGCCGGTGAGTGCACAGTCCTCTGTTGTCCCTCTTTTATTTATGGGGATTTCGTCGAGGCCGGTGAGTGCACGGTCCTCGGCTGTCCCTCTTTTATTTGTGGGGATTTCGTCGAGGCCGGGGTGTGCACGGTCCTCGGCTGTCCCTCTTTTATTTCTTCCTCTACTGCTATGAGCGAGGAGTGGGTTCCTTCTTTCATGCTCGACCGAGGGGGTTGATATTCCCTCGGCCGATAGGGAGTCCAGGAGGGCAGTTGCCCGGCCTCTGGCGCTAGATCGTCCCTTGATCTTGGGGGGTCCCGTCGTCTATTTACGGCGCGGGCTAGGCTTTTGGTCGGTTACCGACGGCTGCCGTTTCCCAACCCCAAGCGTTGGGATTTTGTCACCTCGGCCATTCTTTCAGGCCTGTCGTAATGCGATTTAGCGCGAAGACGACGCCATGAGCTTCCCGTTTCAAGACGTGGGCCGTTTGTGGGCCCCTCGTCCTGGGACGTCGTCAGCCATACCTGAGCGTTTTGCTCTAAGGGGCCGGAACGACGTTCTTTGTTGTGTGGCGTCGTCGGTCATACCTGAGCGTTTCGCTCGAAAGGGCCGAAGCGATGTGCTTTGTTGTGTTACATCCTTTACGTAAACTTTACAAGAAATAAGCGAAACACAATAGGTGTGTTGTTTATTGCAACGGCTTTTATTAGGGTAAGTGGCTCTAGGCCGAGGGGGGTAACCTTCTAAACAACTCGTACAAGAGTTAGCTTCTCAATGAGTTTCTGACCTTGGGGTGGGGGCTCTGCCGTCTGCACCCTCTTCGGATTGTTGGTAGAACTTCACCGAGATGTAGGGCCCTTCGTATTTTGAGGGATAAGCCGTCTGTCGGCTTGCTGGTAGAACTTCACCATGGAGGCCCAGCCGTCGGCCGTGCGTCCCTTCGAAGAAGGACGCAGTCAGCGGATGTGACGCTTCTTCAGCTGGGGCTCCTCGAAGTCCTCGTCGCTGAGCCTCCCAATTTCATGTTTCTTCGTCGAGGTGTCCCCTTCCTGATTACCGGTGGAGTTCCTTGGGGTACCTTTGACAAATTGGTGGAGTTCACCCCGTTGAATCAAGCGCTCAAGCCACATCAAGTGAAGTCACTGCCGTTGAATGCTCCTCCACCGCTGGCGGCGAAGGAGCCTCTGTAAACGCAACCCAAGGAGGAAGTGACGCTGCACGGGTGTCTGTCGCTGTTGTGCGCATATACGGTGGGGCTGCCAACCGCGTCCAGGCTTGTTTCCGTCATGACCGGAGGAATTAGCGCCTTGGTAAGCGCTGCTAGGGATGCGGCAATCTCTTCGAGACACATGTTGTGCTCCTCTAGGGTTTGATTCATCCGAGTTTGCTTGGTGACCATCTCTGTCCAGCAGTCGATCTGTGTTCTCATCATCCTGGCGGGACATGATCCGGTAGGTCGGATCAATTGTTGTGTAACAGAAAAATAAAAATCAACGGGGTAAACCGTTGCCCAGATAATCAACGATAAAAATACCGTTGCCCAGAGCCAAAAGGCTAAAACCAATTTTATTCCAAGATGATATAGAATGAACCTTGGCAAGGGGTATAAATAGCCTTCTAAGAGAAACCCTAATCAAGCCCAAATTAATTAAGTCCTAATTAAGCCCATAATAACTCTACCAAGTACTCTACTAATAATAGGCCCAAAGTAAAACATAACATTAACTTAATAATAATAAATAAACTCTAATGACAGCCCTAACCCGGCCCACAGAAGTGAGCCCAAGCCCAGTCCCGCCCCATGCTCTTCCCGCTCTCTATCAGTATATTATTTGCAAATAGCCTTTTTATGATTAATTCTTTTACTCAAATTTTAGTATTTTTATATAATTAATAGTTTTTATACGAGTGCATCAGACAATAAAATAACTCATCAAGATAAGAATGAAAATTCACTTTTTGATTTTTTTTTCAAACACTTGGTGTGCATTGAATATTTAAAAAATAATTTAAAAAATCTGGAGTATTACTAATGAAAGAGGGAGATATATTTTTAATAAAATTATCGTCTCAGTTGGTTTATTTTGAAATTCACATGTGTTAAATTTATATGTAAAATGAAAATTGATGATATAAAATAAAAAGAAGAAAATGAGCAAATCTGGGAACAACAAGTCGACGCACCAGCCACCAGGAATCTAGGATTAGAGCAATAAAGAACAACAGATCATTTACATTTGTCATCAAAGTTGTATTTATTACAAAAATACCCGATTATTGTAGAGTCAGCACTGTACAACCAGGTATACAGTATAATTTTGTCTAAAAGTTTATGTGATCTTAATTTCACCTTCATAAAATGGTCTATTTTTTTGTGTGAGGTAAATCTAGGTTTTTTCACTTGTGACAAGAACATAGTTTTAAAGAGAAACTGATAACAGTGTTGGAGAGAGTTTGAATCAAACGTTTTTCTCTTTATAAGTAATTTAACATATATAACTAGGTTAATCTCTATCCAAATAAAGTTTTACTATATTTAGTTCAATCAACTAAATAACTATAAAAACAACAATTTTATATTGACTCCGTCCCATAAAATTTGGTCATATTGACTTTTCTTTGTCAATGATGATCAAATTTGAGCAACTATATTTTTTACGGAGTAATAAAAAACTACTTAGATTAGGAAGATGATATGAAAATATTTTTCTTTGAAAAAATACTTTCATAGAAGTATAAATCTCACACAAAAACAATAGCTAAAGTTATTTTTCAAAATTTATTATCATTGACTCAGAAAAGTCAATTTGGTCAAAATTATTAGAGGAAGCGAGTATAAACATATTACTTTACTCAATTCTAACGAAATTAAGATTCTATTAAATTAACCAGCTTTTTTAGTTCACTTTACCATTAAAAATTGGGCTTTTCGTAATGTCACGCCCCGGACCGCATCCGAGCCACGTAGACAACCGCCGTACAACCCGATAAGAACAACAACAGTTCGTCCCTATTGAATTGTACAAGGCGTCCGATTGATTCTATTGCCAAACCGATTAGTAAACACATACAATCAACATCAATATCATAATCAAACAAATGCGGAAATAATAATATGTTTGATACTTAGCCACACGTGGCAACCACGGGCACGCAGGCCCCCAACTGTTTTAATGAAAACATTGTTCAAAAATCCATGAGCAGTTTATACATTTCAAAAATACGAATGGAAGCACGAACCACGTCTTCCTCCTCGAATGATCACCCTAGGCAAAGGTGCAGGTAGTAGGACTCTAGCCTCAACCTGAAAAATGTGAGGGCCCCCGGAGGGGTCAGTACTCCATAGAAGTACTAGTGACAAGCAGGCTATATGAAGAATAACTAATGTTTCAGACACGGGACCCAAAAATAGGGTGATACATATATATATATGTCTCTCATCCACCCGATGATACATACTGTATATATACTCGTAAAATACTCAACCCGTAGGTCATTTACCTGAAAGAGTCTTTTAGAGATAAAGTTCTTACTTGACTTTTCTCACTCCTTTCCCGGTTACCTAGCTCACAAGCTATAGTCTACCTTCGATTCATACTACCGAGTGTTTTAGGATCATTTACCGTCCAAGGCACTCAACCCATCCTGGAGTATTTAAGATCATTTACCGTCCAAGGGTACTCGGCCCCACATGGAGTATTCTGGATCATTTACCGTCCAAGGGTACTCGACCCCACCTGGAGTATTCTGGATCATTTACCGTCCAAGGGTACTCGACCCCACCTGGAGTATTCTGGATCATTTACCGTCCAAGGGTACTCGACCCCACCTGGAGTATTCTGAATCATTTACCGTCCAAGGGTACTCGACCCACCTGGAGTATTCTG